AAGTCCACGGTCAGATGCTAGGAATCAAGACAACTACTACGGCAGACGACTTCGGACTCGGTGCGTTCTAAATAGTCTCCATGACCACAAGACCAAGTTGCGACAACGAGGTCAACCCACTTCTATACCACTTTTAACCTGATTTTCTGTTCGAGTGAAAGGAATTAAGCCGAACCCCGAATGAGTCATCTAGTCGAATATAATATCAACTAAATTCCGATGACACCATTTTTCCGTCAAACCCAACAATTGATCCTGCCATATATTTCCCCATTCTCGTTGCTGACTGAGCTAACTCTACGTCATGAGTTTTCCCACTCATAGCCATCATACCGAGACTATTTCACCATGCTCATCTGTTAGATTAACTAGGGTATACCGAGCATTATTTAGAAAAGGGGTAAGTTTCAGAGGTTCGCTTCAAGTAAAGCCTTACGCTAATAATTCGCAGAACCCACAATTGGGCTCCTTTCTTTATGAATGCTGGACAGGCAAGATGCACTCGTAAGACTGGGATCCCGGTAAAATAGAGATTTCACTTTATACTTGTATAGAGTTCTCCACTGCCTACAGAGCTGCTGGTCTCCTTGAAGCCGAGTTTTTGTGGTCTTAACCTTGCTTTCAAAATTCATTTAAATACCGATACACTTTAGCACATGTCTTGCTTTACACATCACAGCCTACTTCTTTTTCGTCTGGCCTCGACACAATTAGACAATGTGCAAATTCCACATTCTTAAATGATTCCTCTCAAAGTTGTGTCGATTGAGCTTCTTATTACCCGTCAACTAAAATTACATTATCAGTCTGCTCATGGAAGAGTACCCTGCCGCAAATCTCCAATCTTTCAATGTTTTCGTGGCGTTTATATATTTTCGTATCGTTTAAAATAACTTAAATACGCGTACGATGAATACGTCAGACATGAGTCGTAATAAAATATAATATGAGTAAGTTTATTATGCAAACTCATGTAAGTATGCTTGCTTGCCTAAAATGAAAATGTTTTTCGTTAAATTATTTGGTGTCTGTGTGCGTGCAAGTATATATACATGTCGTTGTTTTTGCTTGGACAAAGGTGTTGGTATGCTTATATTGTAGTAAGGCGATGGAGTCGTAGGGAGACACATGAGCAGTTGGTTGGGCGAAATGGGAATTCGAGATGAGAGGATAGGAGAGTACAATGGTATCTACATACAATTATGTTCGTAAGGGAGTTCATGAAACTCTCCGTAGAGGTGGGATCTGAAAAGGCAGGATGCACAAATTGCCGAATGGAGAGAAAGTTCTGAAGTGTGTAGAGAAGACAGATGAAGGAACGGGAAGACGGCGATGATAAAAATGCGGAAAGTTTTCAAGGCGGATTGACCTTCCAGAAGGACAGCTAAGATGGTTGTGCTGAGCCAGACCGGAGTACTCAGATGACAATCAGTGAGCAGCCTTCAGTCTCTTTGATAGTGTCAGGCGATAGAGGCACTGGTCGGCTGCAGCCTCCGGCGGCAAACCGACTTTGGCCCAGTCACAAGGGTTGGTTGAATTGCCGCCTCCTCCGCAGGCGACCAACTCGTATCCCAGCTGCCCCAAGAAGGTTTCCTAAGGGAGAAAAAAGACTCTATTCGGTGATCTCTTTTGGCAAACAAGTGGTCAAGAATGGAGTTCACATGTCGTAACAGAGATAAATGTTGAACTTGCTTCCATTTCCAGTGAAAGTGTTTGAAAGAAAGCTTAGACCGTTTTCACCGGAATCGAAGGAGATTACCTCGGAAACAGCAACGACAAGAATGTTCCAGTAAAGCCAATTGACAGCTGTTCAAGAGGAATCCGACGTCGTTTCCTCGTGAAATCGGTCTTCACCAAACGCTTTCACTCGAAATGGAGGTTCAACAATTATGAAGCAAGAGATACTTTTCTTCGTGTAACAGAGATAAAGCAAACCTTACCGAAGTCGTCTTGTTCTCCCAAAGAAAGTGAACGTCACCGATGCTCGCTTTGAATTGAAAGTCGAATGTTGTCTTCTTGATGATAAACATATTCATCTCTGGGCAGGTGGCTGTCCTCATGATCGAAATCCAGGCACGGCGCTGCTGCATTTGCCTATTCGCAGTTGCCAAGCCACTTGGCTTCAAGTCGAGCCTTGGCTTCAAGTCGAGCCTTGGCTTCAACGCACTTCTGTAGCATGTGCGTACAAACTCGACGACGTCATAGAGATGTCTTGGAGCATACATGCTCTCCAGAGAGTGCAAACTCGTCACCAAGTTGGCCCCAAGTATCTTGGATTCGCGGTCTTTAGATGACTTGACAACCTGAAGGGAATAGAAAAATGTAAAATTTTCACTAGTTTATAAATGCTGGACTCTTAATGCCATATTCCATGAAAAATGCTGGAGCCAAAGTCTGCTCGGGAATCTAAAGTATGCTGTCTATATCAAAACTTTGTCTCGCCTGATCCAGCTTTTTCCACTAGACGCGTTTCCGACAATTGTTGCATGGAAAACTGACTTGACTGAAGTAAAGCGACGAGCTTAATCCTTCCAGACTCTAACCGGAAATGTCGCATTCGTTCACTGCATCTATGGTTGGATGACCCAGGGCATAACATGTACTCCTTTTAAAAATCACCCCTCCATCGTGCCAATTAATGTAATTTGAGACTACATTGCAAGCGGAATGACAACGCCCTTGCGGAAGGACGAAGGACAGAAGGAAATTACATGGCAAAATGTTATAGAAGTATCATATAAATTCAAGTCAAAACTTGTATAAACCCAAAACGAGCAGGATTCTGAGAACTGAGAAACACAATTGTAACGACATGACCTATTATTTAGTTTTATTCTACAATGACTCCTTCTAGCCCTAGTATGAATCCAATGGAAGACTATCAAACCTCAGTGTCACTTGTATTCCCTAAAATGCTAGCTTGGCCAACACAAGGCAAGGGCCGAGTCAAAATATTCTAACACTGACCGTAGAAAAATCCTGACTTAGGTCCGAATAAGCCAGGTACAGATGAGTGTAGAGTTGGAGTTCAGGAACGGAGACATTTCGCACCTTCACCTCGTTTTTCAATGTTTCATTCGTAAGGTATTTAATGAGCCGATATTTCGGAGTGGAGAAGAGGGAACCAGCATGGTACCCTATGCCGCACAGCTCAAATTCGCTGACACCACTGTCGTTTGTGAAGTTATACACAAGACCTGCATGCCTGGGCTCAGCCAGTTCCTTCACATGTCTGAACATTCTGTGATGGGCTAGGTTGTGTACGTAGACGGCCGCCTCGGAAGTGACCAGGTGGGTCAGGAT